AATTTTTTGTTGCATTTCTTACATTGCGTGAAGCAAAAAAGTTTTGTCCTTGAGCTATTTTAAAGGAAGAAAAAAAAAGGAAGAAAACTTCCAAAATTCAGTTAAACGCTTCATTTCTCAATGATGCATTCAAAAAATTTCGCCTTCGATTTTGGCGATCATCAGTCACATTAGTCACCAATCGCTTTATCATGCTAGCGGATGTTGCAGTGCTACATTTGGCTTCACTTCCATTGTGGATGTCGATTACCATCAGTCTTGGACTAGCCACTGTTTGTGCAGTTGCCATACAATTCATAATGGTACCGCGAGTGAAAGCGTGGATTGAAAGTGAGAGTTTGCTGACGTTTTGCAATTCCAGTTGAGATTCACTGCATAGTGATATATTGAACGTTTGGAGTCAGTTCACGAATATTTTATTGATGTATTCCATATTTTATCGATGTAATCATATTGACTAACCTTTAGAAAGTTGAGGAAATTTCTGAACTTTGGAACTTTAAATTTCTAATGTTGAATATTAAAATTTCGGCCAATCATGTTGCTGACTTGTTTTTAGAGTTTCAGGAACATTTGCGAATGAAAACAAAGGAGCATTTGAAAATTTCGATGATGATTGCGATGATAATCTCTCCTATGAGAGCGTCTCAATAGAAAAGGATAGCTTCAGCGGTGTTGTCGTATGTGAAAGTACGTCGTTCTTTCCATCAGTTCACGAATTCCACTTTTTACTTTACGAAAAAACCATACGTTCACGAAATGGTTGTGTTGTTCTTGAGAATTAATGAATGATGATGCGAAACTTCGCTTAACTTCAAAACTTCGCTTCAAAATACTTGCTTCTGCTGAAACATCACAATGAATGATGCGAAACGAAGAACATTTGATTGAGGAAGGCGGTTGTTTGTGTGAAAACAACCAAAAGCAAACAAGTTCTCATGAAAGTTGATTTTGACTTCGGAAAGTTCGCTTTGTCTTTATAGAACCTCCAATATGGACAACTGCAGCGAGCGATTATAGCCGTTCGAGCATCAGCAGCGGAATTAGCATACAGTCTCTTAAATCGACACTTAATCCGACTATTTTTGATCGTACGTTTTCAGCAGGAATTGGTTTTTGTTGCACTTCGAGAATTGATGAAAACGAGAATTGTTCTCAGAAACTGTTTGTAAAAGTAAACAAATCCCTCTGAGAAAAATTTTCGCCAGAAATTGACAAAAATGTATGGGGAGTATGGTTGTACTTGGGAATTGTACCGCTAAATGCTAAAATTTTGATGGTTTTCAGCTATCAAATCATTTTTCAAATGGTTTTTACCGAACAAAATGGTAAAAGAAGATGCAAAAACACTGAAAGTCTTCAGTTCAGTTCAAGTTCTTACGGCTTGCTTTGCCGGATTTGCTCATGGCGCTAATGACGTAAGGTGAGAGGATGTCTCATAAATTCCTGTTCCATAGAGGCTGTGGGAATGCAATGCAAAAACGAATGCATGAAAAATTTTGAATCTGCAAAAAGTTGTCATCTTTTGAAATGGCTATTTTTTGTTTAGCCATATTCAGTGGATCATCATTAAGTGATCATCACCTCGAACGGTTAAATGTGTTTCCAGAAATGTCGATTAACCGTTACTTTTTAATTTTAGCGATCAACTTTTGCAAATTTCAGCAACGCAATCGCTCCACTCACCTCATTGATTCTCATCTACGAACAAATGAGCGTTTATCAGACGGGTGAAACACCAATTTATGTGCTGTTTTTTGGTGTGTTCGCGATTTGCATTGGTCTAGTGTGTCTTGGCAAGAAAGTCATCAGAACAGTCGGTACAAATATGTCCGAAATTAGTTCGGCCAGGTAGACGACTTCAATTGAATCCCATTTTCAAAGTATTATGAAAATATAAACAATGATGGACACAATAAAAATAGCAACAAAATGCAAAATGTTTAGCACATTTGCAGATGTAATTGACTGAAGCGATAAAACAGCAACATTATATGAACATGTGTTTCAAAGCGTATCAGTGTACCACAACACACCACAATGAGACATTCTTATCAAATCAGCCAGCCACCAAATTAGATCGTTTCAATAGGAAATGATAAAGTTGAGTGTGTGACAGACAGATCAATTTGAAAAGTGATTTGTTTATTTATTTATCAATATCGAGATGCTTTCAGTGGATTCACAATCGAATTTGGAGCAGCTTTCACTGCACTTCTGGCCAGTAAAGCTGGTCTTCCGATCAGTACGACACATTCATTGGTGAGTCGTCATTTCAGCGATCATCAAGCAAGAATGCTGCAACTAAGCAAGCTTAAATGTTGCTTCAAGGATATTTTGGACTATAATTTGAACGGATATCATAAATAATCTAATCTGAATATCGAATGTTGTTGTGGAAAGCAATTAATATTCGTTTAATTCATGTCAGAAAAATGCCATCCAGAGATTTTATTCTCGAACATAAGGACAGTGATGNAAACTCGAAATATCATGAAATATTGACAAAATTCAGTGACGAAAAAAATTATCATTCAGATGATTTTGCTCTAACATTTTGTACTGATCATTTTGGAGGTGAAAATACCAAGGAATAAACGACTTTCCTGTGAGATTCTTTATGGCTATGTTGCACTTATACTTCCATTTCAATAGTTCACTCATTAAAAATTATGTTTTTTTCAGGTTTGATATCAGCCGCCATTATGTATTTGTTGAAACTTATTGCTTTGTAGTGCGATGAACCAAACTTTGTGTTAATCGTATGAAATTGATAGAAATTGTGCCTATTACATAATGCACAAATGTCTCATCTCTTACAAATCTCATTCACTGTATTCTTCAAATTCTTCTTCCTGTCGGAACTCGTCATGTTCCCGAATTCATCAATATGAAGAAACTGCAAAGGATGGAACCAATTAATTCATACATTATAACCATATTCATAACAATCCTTTGAAACGATCATAAATTTTGCGTCAATGCCATATTTCATATGTTTTTATGATCGCTTTCAATTTTTGTGATGTTGAAATGGCAGCCATGTTTCTTCGATGACACAATTGGAGCAGTGTGAAACCATTTTGAGGGGAATGTGATATCGTGATAATGTGTGCTGCGCACTTGG